GTTGAGAGGCTTGCCTGGCTTGGGAATTCCAATCACAGTAGCCTCTTTCCACGTAGTGGGAAAATAACTAAGGTTGAAGCAGGCGTTGAAGATAATAGATAAAAAGGTTAACACCTGCTCGGGAAAGTGTTTTAGGGCTTGGTTGGAGATGCCATCCGCGCCCGGAGCCTTTTTAGGCTTAAGTCCTTTGATGAGGGATGAGATCTCATCATTGGACACAGAGATAGGTTCAGAGGCCGTGGGGGGTGAGCTCCGGCGGCGGACCTCATCCTCCACTGCCTGGACGTGTGAGGGGTCGACGGGTTGAGAACTGGGAGAGCATTGAGCGGCAATGCTATCTGCAAAGCACTCAGCCTTTTCCTCGTCCTCGAAGGCAACCGTGCCGTCGGGACGGGAGAGAGGGGGAGTGTGGGTGATAGCGTCTATGCGGAGGGCTCTAGCCATCTGATAGTACGCTGTGTGAGATGGAGAGATATTCTCCATGAGCTTACTCTTTTCGAGATCTTGAAATTCAGAGAGGCGGAAGCGGAGTTTTCGTTGAAGACGATTGGCCGCGCGCCTATATTCGGGGGTGGGATATTTTGCTGCTCTCCGGAAAGCAGCTTTTTTGGCTTTTATTAGGTTGCTAATATGTAGGGGAAGCCCACTATTGTTAGCAACCGGGACGACCCTTTCGTTCTCCTTAAGGGAGGATTTAATAAGGGTGGAGAGTGAGTCGACCGCGGTGTCGATTTTTTCGGGACTATCTAAGTCCGACGATAGGGAGATGGTAGAGTCCTGTGAGTCCAGAGCTTTAGCTAGGGACTCTTTGAATCCCTTCCAGTTAGTGAAGGTTTTCGTGTGTGTTGGGGGAGGTGGCTGATGGCCAAGAATGAGGGAGACCGGTCGGTGATCTGATCCTAGATCGTCTAGTGTCTCGATTGCTCCGAGGTTGAGAGAAACTCCTTGGAGTAACGCAAAATCTAACACATCGGGGGCGTGATCGGTGTTATCGGGGAAGTGAGTAACACCGAGAGGACTATGGACGGTAATATCAAGAGACTGCGTGATATCGAGCAGTATCTTGCCACTAGGGGGACGTAGTGCGGCATGTCCATTCAGTATGCTTGGAGTTAAAATCTCCAAACATAATGACTGAGTTGCCTAAAGATAAAATGGCCTCAAAATCCTTTTTGAGGGGATAGGTTCCTGAAGGGATGTAACAGGAGGCTATGAGGATGGACTGATGTCCAGTCATAGCTAGCCTGCATACCGTGGCTTCCATGTTGGTAAGCTGCGGAGTAGAAATGGGCGAGCAATGAAGTGTCTTCTTGTAATAGATGGCCGTTCCGCCGCCTCGGCGGTCGGGTCTGTCGTTACGAAGAAGAGAGAAGTTTTTAATAGAAAGGCCTCTAGTGTCCTTAGCTTTGAGATTAGTTTCCTGTAGGAGGAGGAAATCGACTTCACGATTCCGAAGAAAGAGCTTGAGCTCTGGGAGGTTATTTCGCAAGCCGCGAATATTAAATGATACAAGCGATAAACCCTTAGGTTTGATACGACCGTGAGATCTAGGTAGGTTAATTCTCTCAGTCATTGAAGTTAAGTTAATTAAGTTAACCTAACTTACAACGCTAACAAAAGGTTATTGTGCTCCGCAAGAACGAGGAGACGTTCTTGGGGGGACTTGGCCGCGCGCAGTTTGCGTGATACAACTGTTATTTCCCTAACGTCGATATTCCTAATAGCGGAATATAGCGTGTTGTAGTCGTCGATTGTGGGCTCTGCTTCATGAGCGTACGAGGTTGTCCTCGGTGGGTCTGCCTTTTTGGGCCCCCAGGGAAAGACTGGAGGCTGCATTGGCTTGGAGAAGCCCGGAGGGGGGCCGAATTATGCCCTGAGGGGGCCTAGGGGGACCCTGAGGGGGCCTAGGGGGACCCTGAGAGGGTCGAGAGAAGCCCTGGATAGGCTGAGAGGGGCCCTGACGGGGCCGTTGATGGAGGGCTGGGAAAGTGCGGTCATTCACCGGCGGTGGAGCTTTCCTACTGGGGCGAGGTTGAGGTGCGCGTGGGCAACCCTTGTAGTTCGCCGGGTGTCCTGTCTGGTTGCACAGGACACAGGCGGGCGGGGATTCGGCGTCTTTGGGCCGGGGACACTCTTTAGTGTTGTGTGGCTCCAGGCACTTCACACACCTGGGTGGGGCGGAGCAGTTGGCCGCCGCGTGACCGTAAAGTTGGCAGCGGTGGCACTGCGCCGGGAAACCGGGCCTATGTGGGGGCTCTACCTTCACCCTTGACAGGCCGCACACTGTGCGCACCTGCCGGAAGATGGCTTTAGCCTCCGGCACGTTGGACAAGATTACGAGGGCAAGGTTGTATCTCTTGCCCGTACGGTTGTGCATTTTGTGCACTGCTTCCACTGGGAAACCTTGGGACTTAAGGTCCTCGAGGATTTCCTCATTGGAGAACTCAAAGGGGACGCCTCGGATGACGGCCCTGACTTTACGCTCTTCAGGGAGAGCGTAAGTGTGGTATGAGATGCGCTCGGCTGTGAATAGCCGGGTGATTGCGCGGAAGTCCTCGATCGAGGTAGGGATTATTTTGATTGCCTCCCCGAGGTTGACTGCATGATCGTATTTGATGCCTGCGTCGTAGCAGGTCTTAGACAGTTGGGTGAACTTTGCCTTGTCTCTTAGGATAACAGGGGGCGGGACTTGCTTCTTCGCCAGCACTGGAGCACAACGAGAGGCTGGTTTAGATGGAGTGGGGATGTCTAGTGACATCAGTGGGACGGGTGCAGCGTCAAGGGCTGCGGAGGTTGAAGGAGCGGCAGGGGCCGCTGAAGTAGGGGGGTGCGTTTCAACGCGGCGCGCTTTCCGTTGCGCTTGGAGGTGACGGTGGTGAAGTTTGACTCACCGGTTCCGTCAGAGTCAGAGGACTCCGATGAACCGGAGCCTAGGGTAGTGGCGGGCCTCTTCCGGGAGGTAGACGCCGAGGATTCGGAGCATGCGTACTCCATTTCTAAGGGGGGCAGATTCGAGTTGGGCAAAAGAGTTCCTCGTTTCGAGGTAAGATGCGATTACCGGCGGCGGGAGGTGTGCCTGAGGGGCAGGGGTGGGAGCCTGGGCGGCGATGGTGGCGATGGCGGCGAGGACCGTCTCATTGCCACTTAACCCATATTGGGTGATGAGGGCGGCTAGGGACTCAGTAAAACTGGAGTTGGCCATTTTAGGATAAGAAGCTAAAGGTGAGAAAGCAAAGATGAGGACGGGTCCCTGCTCTCGGTAGAACAGGGACTAGATCGCGAGACGTACTACGACACACTATACACGTAATACAAGAATAACAAGAACACAAGAAAATAAAGGAGACAGTAAAAAAAAAAAATAATAATATGAAATGAAATGACAAGTGAAAATGAAGAATGAAATGAAAAGCGGAAGTCAGTCAGACCTCCCTGCCCGAAGACAGGGGGGCAAGAGCTGTAGCAAAAAGTGACTCACCGGCAGCCTCGACGCTGTTCCGCGTGAGCAGGACAGCGGAGGCGCGTGAGAGCGCGACAGCACTACCGTACTGTACGGGAGCGCGGACCACCAGGAGGCGACCGTCCGAGAGCGGTGCCGCCGGCGGACTGAGCACTGCGTCGGCGCTGTACAGCGCGAGCGGGACAGCGGGGGCGCGAGAGCGGGGAGCACTACCGTACAGGAACGAAAGCGCGGACTACCTGGATGCAACCGCTCGGAAGCGATGCCACAGGCGGAATGCTGCTGAGCTGACTTATTCGTGCTGCTACCGTAATATATCATCAGCATGTCTCTACCACGTATAAAATATCAATAGTCACGGGTTACTATGAAGTGGTCCATTAGCCTCATATGTCACCCACAAATCGAAATAGGCTGGTGGATATTTAACGCCGCCACCAAGTGGCACTTATCTCTACATATAAATGAAATTCACACAACAGCCTCATATTTAGCTGAGAGGATTATCCGCATGTCATTAAGATATGAATAAACATTTTTTAAATGTTTATATATCTATTCTTCGGAATGGCTGAACCTATTCCAATGAAACTTCATGAACATATAGTGAGCTATGTCAGGAGCTATCTAGGCTGTATTTTATGCAGAAAACTTTAAAGAAAACTAAAAATTGATCAAATAAATTTTATTTGATTGACTGAAATCTGAATAACGCTTTTTACGTGGTAGAGCCATGCTGCAGCCATATTAATTGTATAGTTGTAGCACGAATGGGTCGGCTCGACCGGGGAAGGACCACGCTCTCACAGAATACCAGCGTAAAATAGCAGATTAACACTGCTTTGTTTTGTATGGTAAGCGTAGAGAACCGGAGACCCTTTTTACTGGAAATGAGCTGTTATTCCATGTTAGTCCTCATGGCTGACAACGCATCTGCATTTTGATTTGCAAACGAGGATAAATTTAGATGTCTATGGACCACGGCAGCTTACCACAGGTGGACTGTGTGTTCCCTTGTCACCCTTATCCTATAAAAAATTACAGATCCTACCCAGGCGAAACCCGGGCGAGTTGCAAGTAATCATAAAATAAATATATATTATAATTTCCTATAATAGACTCTATGTACTATGTAGGTGCCTACTAGCTTGCCAGGCAGACGTTGTTCTGCCCTTTTCGACGACCCTTTGTCATGTCCTATTAAAAACCCTTAAATTCGCAAAAAAAATTGTTAGTAACTCATTAAAAAAACTATCATATCTCTTAAGTTGATCAAGAGGTGTGATTTGATTGTTCCATCGCGGACAAACAACGTGACACGTAATTTATATATATTAAGATAATGGGTCTTAAATATGTAGTATATTTAATTTAGATAGTTTTTTCTGTTGCGGCCCTAGCCATAGTTCTCACCACCACAACACCAACAAAAGGTTAACTCTGGCAAAGAATGCCTGCCATTGTACCAAATTATTTTGAGTGCAATAAATAATTTTCTATCTACAGTGTTCGAATAAGTGACGTCGTCCTTTTGTTACAGCGCGAGCCGCACCTACCCAGTGGAAGGGCTGGTGGAACAGGAGACCCCCACTCCCACCACCGTCGACCTCCCGCGCACCAACGACGGCGAGATCGACTACGATGGTGAGTAAATACTGGATTCACGAGCTGACAAAAAACTGGCAGTCATCGCAGTGCCAGTCGTCTCCTACCTTCGACCTCGAAGAATCAGAGCTGCCGACGTAGTCAGCAACCGTCATTACATCCCTTCACAAGTCCACTGCTGAACATAGATTGTCCCCAAAGAATCCACAAAATACGATCCTAAGGAGTCCGCCTGCATTTTTTTATAGAATTAGGATGACAAACGAGCGCACTGCCCACCTTATAGTTAGTGGATGCTGTGGCAAATAGACATCTACATTTATCCTCGATTATGAATCAAAATGCTGATGCGTTGTCACTCCTGGGGAATAAGATAGGATGCCTCGTTTCCAGTAAAAAGAGTCTCCAGATCTCTACACTCATCTTACGAAACACAGCAGTATTAAGCTGCTATTTTGAACGGGTATTCTGTGAGAGCGTGGTCCTTTCCCGGTCAAGCCGACCTATTCGTACTACAACCATAATATAGCTGCAGCGTGGCTCTACCGCATATAAATTCATCGACCCCCTGCATGTCTTATCAAATCAAATCAAATCGTCACTCCATCTAGTGGGGGCTGCCCTACACTTCGCGTACCGCTACGAGTTTGCTACTCGAAAAACTGTCTTCCCCATCGATTGGGTTCTTCGGGATATACTTCCGACCCATTGGGACTTCAGCTTAGTGTCGCGCTGGGCTATGTCTGTTATTCTGTTTCTTATTTTGAGTTTTTTTTTCACGCAGAAAAACTCCAAAAACCTATATATGAGCTAGCAGAACCAAGAATATTTCCATAACTAGTTATTTCTGATTACATTTTAGGTCAAAGCAGATGTTTTAAAATGGGCAAGATCTATGTACACTACTTCAAAAAAAAGAGAAAAATTTGTAGAATTCGGAAAAAACACAGATAATTCACGTAAATGTATTCTGTGGTGGTAAACAATTGATGTTTATCAATTATTTTTATCTACTTTCAACATGGCATCTCTACGATTTAGTTACTCTGTGCTTAAATGTGTAAAAAATGACAGTAAACCTTATAGCGACCAATTATCATAGAAAGAGAACTGCCACTTGTCACAACAGTGTCGAAAATAAATAAACATGTCAAACGTCATAAATCAATAAAAAATGACAGCTTATCGCTATGACGGATTTTTGTTATGTGTTGTAATTTCAAGTGTAATCCTGTGTTTTACTAGCAAACAAAACCGTTGTAAAATATTTGGACAATTGAGAACCGTTTATAATGTGTGTCCCTATTTTTGAGTATAGTGTACAAGGACCTGGCCCAGGCTTCATACATTTTGGAACATCTCATTTAAGTATTAAAATTTCACGACGGCCATGTTAATGTTATTGGGCCTGAGTAGGCTTGCCATATTAACGGATAAATCCATCCGCGATCGGATTTTATGTGCCGAGACAGTACAATCCAATAAAGTCCGAATTTTTGCCACGCCGGCTACACTTGTAGGTCTAAAGGTCGCGCGAACTATATCGTTAACATAATGCAACTTGAAATATATTATTTATTGATTAAAACTACTTTTACGGATTTTATCGCGTTTTATTTATATTAATTTTAATACCCGACGTTTCGGGTGCTTTCCAGCACCCATGGTCACGGGGGACTGAGGTGACTGACGTCCCGATGTCAAAGTTAACCCGGAGTACCTTCAGCTTTTTTTAATTATTGTCTTTGGTCCGATCTACGCAGAATGAACTAACTGTGTTTTGAAGTTTTGCAGTGGTATGCTTGGGTTTAGTTTTAATTTTATTAATTATAGGATCCCAAGCAGGTGGTAGTACCCAGCCTCCTTCTCTATTGAAATTAGGATGCTTTTTAATTTCAATAGCCTCACGTATCATCCTTGATAGGAATCGATGTTCTTTCGCGAGAATTTGTGGTCTATCAAATCTGATGTAATGGTTGGGGCCATCTAGAATATGATCGCAAACTGCAGACTTCCCGGAACGTTGATGCTTCACGTCAGCTATGTGTTCTTTTACGCGGGTTCTAATTGATCTCTTCGTTTGCCCTATATATTAGAGACCACAATCGCAATCAAGCTTATACATTCCTGCATCTTGTAAAGGAATATGACACTTGACGGATGGTAAGAACTGACTAATCTTCTTCGGCGGCTTGTAGAATGTTCTAATAGAAGCTCGCTTCAAGATGTAGCCAATCTTGTCTGTGACACCTCTGACATATGGTAGTATAGCAGGCACACGCTCGACTGTGGAACTCTACTCTACTCCGGGTTAACTTTGACATCGGGACGTCAGTCACCTCAGTCCCCCGTGACCATGGGTGCTGGAAAGCACCCGAAACGTCGGGTATTAAAATTAATATAAATAAAACGCGATAAAATCCGTAAAATTAGTTTTAATCAATGTATAGTGTTCGCGTAAATATAAGAAATCATTATATATTATTTACTTAACATTCATTAAGTTGTATAAGCGGTATAACGGCGAAGACGAGACTACAAAAATCATGATTTAAAAAAATCTGTAACTGGATTTCCAAGTCCAGGACCTGGCTACCTTAGCCCGTTACCCAGGTCATTACTACAGCACTACGCTACAACACTGCGTTAACCTATGATTGTAAGTCGCGCGAATGTGCTTCGCGGTGGGCAACCTCACTTTTTGTTAACACTCAATTTCGCTTCACATCTAATTCGTGTAACGCGTGCACGCGGTCTATAATTCTTAAGGAGTAAACTCCAATAAAGTGAATTGGAAAACGAGAGTTTTGTGTCTAAATAAATAACATAAGAATTCAGTTTTCATGATTATACAAAATGCGTTATGGTATTGTGACACAGTACGCGGACATTAAAATTTACGCCTGTATTATTACGCCAATTCATTAAATATTGCTGTTATACCTGGGCATTTTATGCTGGCATCATAATAAAAATTACTCCTACAACTACTCTATATGAAAAATACATATGATGAATTAGTTAAGACAAAAATTTTACATGTCTTGGAATCATCATCGTTAGATTATTTGATTTTGAAATCGAATAACGAAATCTCTATCAGTTTTCGCTTTTTAACTAGTACCAATTTTAACGTACAAAACATTGAGTCATAAATTCTGAAGTGACACTACCTTAGCAAGCGACAAAAGGTAATAACCCTTATTACAGGAAGGACGCTCGCAGTGGAGTGCCACTTGAGTACTTTCGTTCGTTCTGAATATTATTAAATTTGAACTACGTAAAATACAGCAGTATTTTATCTACAACCACTTCTGTGCTTTATAAGAGAGGATACTTGTCATTCCATATTTTACTAGTGACACCGGAGTATGGTACTATGAAACCTCTGGTAATAGTTTTGTACGTGGTAGAGCCACGCTGCACCTATATTATGGTTGTAGCACGATAGGCTCGGCTCGACTGGGAAAGGACCACGCTCTCCCAGTATACTAGCGTAAAATAGCAGCTTAATACTGCCGTGTTTCGTATGATGAGTAGAGATCCAGAGACCCTTTTTTACTGGAAACGAGACAATCCATCTTAGTCCTCAGCGGTGACAACGCATCTGCGTTTTGATTCTATATCGAGGATAAATGTAGACTCCTATGGACCACAGCATCCACTTACCACCAGGTGGACTGTGTGCTCGTTTGTCACCCTTATTCTATAAAAAAGTTTTATAGGAGATTAAAAAAATAATGAAAAATTACAATCAATCACAATTCCTTAATAGTATATTTTTATTTCTCATTAGATCAAAAAATTCATACGAGCTAAAGTAATAACACATTTTTAGAATCAAATGTGATTATTATATAAACGTCTACATTACTGGAACTCTTTGTACTCCTTTTTACATGGGGAAATATCTAGCGCCAGTATTTTCCTCCGAAAACGATAACTCCGTGCTGCAGAGCACGAAACGCAATATTCTATACCACCTTCATTATGTTTATTTCTTAATGTATTACGTACCGCCTAGACCTGACATGCGAAGACCAAGGAGACCAAGAAAGCGAGCACTAGGAAAGTTATAAAAGCTAGGAGAAACTAAAACAGTAACCTAAGCTAACCTAATAGAGCGTCAGCCATTTAACCAGTTTCCTGTTACCTACGTGCGCAACGTACTTTTGTGGCAACTCACATTGTATGCAAATATTTATTTGGATTTACTTATACATTAATTGTTATCTTGTATGCAAATTTTCATGTATTTTTTGATGATATCATATCTAAAGATAGAAATCGCATATCCGAGTCCAAATCTCTTATCTTGTCCGTCCTTAATTAACACTTGCCAGTTTAAATTAACCTTTCCTGTGAAGTAACAAACTATCATTATACTGCAGATGGTCACAGTCACAATTTTTTTTATTTTTATTTTTACCGTTAAAATTGTTAAGTGGGCTCGATTTTTACCGACTTCAAAAAGGAGTAGGTATTCAATTCGACTGTATGTTTTTTATGTGTGTTTCCTCATAACTTTTCCCTGAGTGAACCGATTTTGATGATTCTTTTTTTATCTAAAAGCTGGTGCTTCTCGCGTCGTTCCATATAAATTTAATCAAGTTCTGACCAGTAGGTTTTAAGTTATCTGTAACAATACGTATTTTATTGACTTCGAATACATTGATAATATTCTCTAATTATATCGAAGTCTGTTGAACAAATTTTTTAATTTTTTTCACTTGCTTATTGATTAGTTGCTTGCTATATTGCTAAGTATCATACTTAGCACTCGCCAGAAATCTAGATAAACTACATCAAACAAAAATATTCATTGGAAAATTAAACTTTAAAATAAATTAAAAACTGACTTTAAAAACTAAAAATACTGTATTAATGTGCACAATAGCATCTGAAGCCGGTGCTAAGAGATAGTGTTTCGAAGAATATTACAGCCACAAATCATTTTATTCTTTTTAATTTCTGAAGTCGGTTCTTACGTTTATTTTTTACTTTTCTGTGTTAAATAAGGAATAACACAAGTTGAAGAT